CATTCGTTTACTGTATCTGTCCCTGCATGCTCTAAAAACTTTTATTCATCTAGTTTTTTTCCCCGCACTTCAGTCCTTTGGAACTCTCTCCCATCTTCATGTTTTCCTGACTCATACAACCTTCAACTTTTCAAGTCTTCTGTCAACCGTTTCCTTGCTCTATAGCTCTGTTTTTTTTTGCTAGTAACTCTTGACGTAATAGTGGTTGCTTGCAGTCTTATTGGGAGTGAATGCAAATTAAAAAAAAAAAAATACTTAAACTCACGAATCTTGGTTTATAATTAGTGCTTAGGTTTTTAGGGCCAATTTTATATATTGAAATGACATAAAACAATTTCAAAATATTGTCAAAATTTCCATTTAAGATTAAATTATCAAATATAAAAAATTACAAACTAAAACTAATTCTTTTTTTTAAGTTTCAATTTAGATTAAAAGATGAAATTTCAAATTGCTTTGTCGGGAATCATAACTTTTTTTTCTTTTCTTTTTTTTTTTTTTTTTTTGCTTTTATGTTTTGCCGTATAAGTATATAAATACAATTAAAATTTCAATATAATTACAGATGGGGTTAAAATAAGACAATTTTTGTCTCCAAGCCTCGGAAGTAAACGATGAAGATATTTTTAATAGTTAATCTAAAAATGAGCAAACTTCGGGTTTAACTTTTTAAGCAACATTTCCAAAAAAAAGTGTTAAATTATTTGGAGTTTATTTGGATTTAAATTATTTGGAGTTAAGAGTTGGTTTAATTATGTATTTTTTGTTAACTTGTTACGAGGTGTTAACATTATTGAAATTTATTAAACTTTTTTGCTTTTTTTATGCTTTCTAAGTTCCTAAAAAATTTTTTATGCTTTCAATGTATCTTGAAAGCTTTTACATTTTCATGTAAAGGCTTTCAAAATACGTTTTAATGATATTCTTTCAAAACGTCAAAAGGCAATCAAAACATTGCAAATCAATATTAAAAGTTCAGAAAAGTTGCTAAACTTTAATTACTGATTTAGAGTTAGTTTATATTTATTTTTTATGTTATGTTTTTTGAAACAACTATTAATAAATGTCTAGATAAGAATTGGTATTTTTTGCCGGATTTACAAACAGGTATTTTGTGTTCTTATTTTTTAAATAGAGTTATCTGTTTTTAAGTCAGGAAAAAATAGGACAACACAAATTAATATCCTAGAGAAATTTAATAAGCTTCTTTAATAAAAGGAAGGGAGTATGTCCTACTTTGATATCTTTTGGCCCAAATTCACGCCAAGCCAATCGTGTTTAGATTTTTACACCAACAAATCGTTAGTGTCTTAAGGATTATCTATCAAAAAAGTTATCTTTTATATATATATATATATATATATATATATATATATATATATATATATATATATATATATATATATATATATATATACTCCTTTAATTTGCTAAAAATGGCTGTATAAATATTTGTCAAGTGTTTTTAAATCGTTAGAAAGTACAATCTGCAACAACTCAATATAGATCGATGTGAAAAAGTTGGCTCTTGGTTGTGTTTGACAAAGGTTGACCTGTATTTGAAATTGTGTAACGTTATATTGTGTGGTGGATGTTAATCGAACAAAATGTTAGTCATAATTGCAATGTGTAAAAGAACATAGTTTTGTATAATTCATCATTAGCATTCTCTGAGCCAGATAGAATTCTCAGAGAAAAAAAATTATAGAAAAAACTTCTGGGAGAATCATGGAGCAATATAAAAAGTAACATTAATTTTGAATATACTTTCAACATATCCAAGTATAATGTTCTATTGTTATAACAACTCTTCATGTATAATGCACAACATGTACAACATAATATGTATATAAAAGATTTCTCCATGTATAACATTTAAAAAAATTTTTCTAGCTTTATTGTGCAGATGAAACCTATAATTATTTTTAATTTTTGACATTATTTTTATCCGTGAAAACTGGTGCAAGTATTAGCATAATGATAAAAACTACAAGCAATCAATTAATTACTTTACTGTCATTAAAATAATTTCTAAGAAATACTATTGACACTACATTCTGATGATACCTTGACGGTGCAACACAAAATCTTAATAAAGCTTTTAACCAGATAACCTTTAAAAAAAGTCCTATAAAATTTTTTTTACTAAAACGTTTTTAGATCTGGGTTTTGCTTTAGCTTTAATAAATTACAATGATGATTTGGGAAAAATTTTGTCAACCATTATTCCAGGCAAGAGTCGCAAATAATTAAAAATTTTCAAGTAACATTTGCAACTCTTGCCTGGAAGATTTTTAATTTCATAAATGATTTTTGAGTTGATAAGTGTTTTGAGTTCATAAATGAAAGTGTTTTATTAGTGCAGGTGTTTTTTTTATAGAAATTTGGTGGAGTAGGATACTTTATTGTCTTCAACAATGGGATGCTAGGTGTATTACACACAGTTCACCTTTTTTCTTTTTTTTTTGTATTTTGCACTTTAATTTTGCACTTTAATTACAACAGTAAAAAGACGTAAAAAGCACTTTCTTTGTCCTAAAGACATAAAGACGCAAAGGGGGCGGATATTATTAATTTAATTGTGAAGTACTGATTAAAATTGACTTGCAGAAATGCTTGATCAAAGATCAAAGAAGGATTTGACTAGCATAAATTCTGTGGCAGAGTTACAACAACGGCTAAAATTTGGCTAAAATATAGCTGGAATAGTTTCACAGGTCAATTTAATAGGTCTCTATACAAATTTTGGCACGATTAGCTTGAATACATGCATTTGAATCATATGTTGAGATCAAGAACTATGTTAGAAATATCTTGGATCATCTAGGAAGATTCTAGCAAGACTCTTTTTATAAGCTTTAGACACTATCTACATGCTATGGCTATCGACACTAGGCTATCAATTTATTTCAATTAATTGCAAATCGACTACGAGAAAATAATGATGCCTCATTTAAACTATAGATGCTCTTAATCATTGACATGTTTAACGGTATCAATATTGGTGTTTAACGGTATCAAATACATTATACTTTATGAAACATAATCCTATTTAAACTCTTTAATTAACTTTTAGCAATTATTTATAAAAGCTGTTAGTTTGAAGAATAAAATAAACTTAAGGATTTTGAGTCTGACAATAGGATGACGATTTTAGGACCGAAAACTTCTTTTAACATAAGCTGCAGAAAAACATGTAAAAAAATATTTTAACTTTTAAGTCGGATTTTTGAGAGTTAGTTTTGTTAATTGTATTGAAACTTTTATCATTTTATTTTGAATTATAAAAATATTTGCAAAATATAAAAAAGTTTCATTGCAAATGTCAGGAAAAAAAACGTTTTATTTTGACACTGTATATTATGTTATATCTCTTGTGTTTATATCTCTTGTGTGATTATTAAAGATTTCAACCAAAATCAGCTGCAACGAAAAGTATTTGTCAGCTCTTTTACATTATTCCAATAACTGCAATTTTACTAAATTGCAGTTATTCGAATAATGTAAAAAGTAACTAAAAAATTACTTAAAAATTCAAAAAACTTGTTTATTAATTTTATTTATTTACCTAGTTACTACAAAATACGTTTATAGTCTGTACTAATAACTAATAATACGTTTATTAGGCGTTTTGTGCTAACCGGGAAACAAAACAAACATCAAAAAAACTACGCAATAACTTTTTCAATATAAATTACAGAAACAGTGAGGCGCGCCACAAAGAGATTAAAGTTTTAAACGTTTATGACCTGGTTCAAATATAAAGGATTAAAATGAGACAAAAAACAAAAAAGTAAAAAGTTTTACTATCTTTAATCATCATCGTTACATAAAAAAGAAAAATTGAATATATGTTATCTATAGAATCTGTATCTATGTTAGCGCACTTACAATAAATTTATTGTTCAAAAAAATACATATAAACGAAACTTCTAAAATCTCTTTAGTCATAGGACCTAAAAATAAATATGTATTGCAAGCTCATATAATACAGCTTTATCAATACTAAATGAGAGCTGAAAATTAAAATTTAAGAATATCTGAAAGAAAGTTGAATTTTTTTACAAACTGCGGCTTGAACTCTATAAAAATAAATGAGTAAAAATAACGCGCGTAAGCGAGAACGAAAAAATATTTTGACACGCCTATTTTTATTTTTATCGAGTCACATGTTTTGAAGCTACTCTAGCCGACTGTGCAGCGGTGGCCAAACTAATAATGTTTAAAAAAAACCTACAACATTTTATTAGGCATGGCTTGTGCATTTCTGACGTCAATAAAGAGGTTTTAACGATTGAAATTCTAACCATAAAGCAAAACAATTGTGATAGGCTGTTTTTATCGCCCACCTTCTGGTACTTTTTTATATAAACATATTTTAAATAAAAGCAGCCACAAAAAGAAATTAATCAATACATTATGTGATTTGAACTTATATTGCTTTGTCACATAAAAAAATACATAAATGGATATTATAATGGCTTATTTAAAAATCGTTTTACATAACGATAAACAAACCAACTAAAAGTACTTAGTTTCCAACTTCCTTAATTAATACGTTATAACCACCAATGATTTTAATAATTCTCCTAATATTTACGCAAAAAATCTCCGCTTAAATATATCTACTTTATTAGTGCAATATTAACTTAGATTAGAAACTTTTTTAAGACTTTTTATGAGACTAATAGTATCAATTTCCCCACAAAAAAGAAATAAACCATTAACTTAAAAAAACCTAAAAATATCATTAACTAATTAAAAAGAACTGCCATAGATAACAAAGGGTTTTAAAATTAAACAAAAAGATTCTATTAGTTATTTAAAATCAAAAATAATTTAGAGCAAAACAATTTTAAAAAGTTTATTTAAAGTTATTTAAAACAACATAAAAAAAAAAAAAACTTAAAAACAAAAATACTATATTGATTTCCTTGAAAAAAATCTCAAAACTTGAAAAAAATGAAACTCAAAACTTGTTATTTAATGAAAGTGCTTACTTGTAGTACCAAAATGATGTCACAATCTTTACCCAAAACTATTAAAGTAAAAAATCTTTTTCTTGACCAAAACGAAATTGCTACTTTTATTAATATTTAGTATCTGTTGGAACAAACATACCCAAAGAGATACCAAGTCCTAAAAATTCAATGAACAAATTTTACTTTCCTCCAACCTAGAATATAAACATTCTTGAATAACCTTTTGTAGAGCTTGGAAATGCTTTCAAAATATTCAAGTTTAATAAAGCATTTAGTACAGATAAATAGGAATTTTTTAAGTTCCTTCAAAGTTTTAAAAGACATACATTTTAGGATTCTTAAATGTTCCCTATTAAGCATGCTTAATAGAAAATCTGGAAAAACTCCCTGCAGGAAGTTTTTCCAGATGATCCAAAAAACAGCAAAAGTTGTTTCGATATTTAAAGAATGATAACAAACTTATATTAAAAAAATATTTTCTTATGTTTACCCAGCAGACAACGTAGCTTTTTGTGTACGTTTTGAAACGTTCGAAAGATGTTCAGAACGTTCAAACCGTTTCAAAGCTGGCTGAGCATCTTTTCTGTATTTTCAACAATTTTAAAAAGTATTTTGTATAATAGAATAAAAACTTTAGGAAAATAACTTATAAATTAAAAATTAAAAAAAAAATTTTAAGTTGCTTTACTTTAAAGTGTTAAAATAACTAAAAATAACTAAAATAAAATTATTTGTTGCTAATTCAGCATTAAATGCCAAAAACAAATAAATAAAAAGAAAACATTATTTTCTCAACCTCATGAAATAATAAGTTGAAGGTTATAACACTGTTATAAACAAAACATCTCGATATAAACAAGCCCTTTTAGAAAAACTAAAAACAATTATTTTTTGAAATGGCAGCTGTTTTAGTTTTGTGAGATAGTATCGATGCTTAAACAAAATTCTTTAATAAATAGATTCAAGTGGAAATAAGTATGTGGTTTTTGTTTTAGTATGGTATTGCAGTTCTATTGGTAAAAAAATTCTAAAAATTTTAACTAAATAGACGATATTTGATAACTTTAAAATTGCTAAGCGTGCCTGGTATAATCTTCAAAACACTCTGTCTTTAAACCCATTAATAAATTTTAAAAGTCTAAATTAATAAGAACTACATTAAACATAAGCTACATAAAGTTGTAGTGGAAAATTTGAGTTTTATACTTTATTATCTCCCAGGTGATCCCACAATGCATAGCGAAAAGTTCTTAAAAAAGTTATCAAATATCGTATATTGCATGTTAGGTTAAATAGAATAGAACAATTTCCTGTATGTAGTTAAAATAACTCAAATAATCACAAATTTAAATGACTTAATTTTTTTTATATACCTTATCCGATAAAACAATTTTTTTTTTCACTTTTTTTTATTAGAACCGTTATGATGTTACATGTCGTTGAAAAGCTAGTTTAATTTTACACAAAGTTGGCTAATAAAAGTTTTTTTCACAAAAATTCCTAAATATTTCTCCTTTAAGTAACTTTCTGTTGATTCAGTTCAAAGATAATAATTTAGCAAAACTTTTAACTGGTTATCTGACATGCTTTCAACTAGTTATCTGACATGTTTTTAAATGGTTATCTGACTCATTATATAGTTCTCAATTAACACTTGAATTTATAGTGAGTTTTGCCCTGACGATATATATATATGATGACTTGGAGGTATCACTTCCTAGTAGTAATGAGTTGTATGCCATTATAACATATGAAATTTATGTTTTAGATTTATTAATGAGATTTATGTCTTAGACGCAGACAACTCAGAATTTAACAAAATCTCCATTTTTTATTTATTTATTTTTTAGCTAGTGTATAAAATAAAAAATAACAAAAAGTCATTCTTGTTATAACTATGAAAACTTGAATACGAAATATTGAAACGTAAATACAAAGTATTTTGCAATTGCAAATGAAAAATTAAATTGAGTTTTATAAATACTTTTAAAAAAATTATTCTTACCTTCGTTTTGGAAATGTTACGAATAAATAGAGAAACTCGTTTTACATAACGATAAACAAGAAATTGAAAAAAAAATTAGAAAATGTATAGCTTATTTTTCTAAGGCAAACACGCCTTATGCAAGAATTGTTTTGTTTGTTTTTTTCATAATTTAATTTCAGTTGTTTTAATCTTTAAAAACATGTAATATAAATGTATTACTTGTTTTTTCCAGCCTTTAGATGTTTGTCATACATTATTTTTGCGCTATTTATGTAAATAATTTATTAAAGTTAATCTAATGTGTGGAGCACAAAAAAAAGGTGTAGACAAATCAAAATAAGAAAGATAGAATTTATGTAACCAACCTTACAAATAGTTCTATTTCTTTGTAATTTTTTCTGATATATATATATATATATATATATATATATATATATATATATATATGTATATATATATATATATATATATATATATATATATATATATATATATATATATATATATATATATATATATATATACAATTTATTTTTTGCTTAGATTATTTAAAATTATTATCAATATACATTTTTTCACCTCAAAAGAAATATTTTTGTTATATATATATTTATATATATATATATATATATATATATATATATATATATATATATATATATATATACAATTTATTTTTTGCTTAGATTATTTAAAATTATTATCAATATACATTTTTTCACCTCAAAAGAAATATTTTTGTTATATATATATTTATATATATATATATATATATATATATATATATATATATATATATATATATATATATATATATATATATATATATATATATCTGTATGTGTGTTTATAAATATAGTTTAATTAACTATTATTAACGAGTATTTAATAACAGCATGTTATATATATTATGCATTTGTATAATAAAATGTTAATTAGCTTAGTTCACTCGCAGACTTTGCGAGTGACAGCTTTGCGTCACAGTTTTGGCTAGAGTCTAGTCACAGAAAACTTTTTTTTAACTAGAACTTTGCATCACAGTTTTGGTTTGTGTTGAGTCTAGTCGTAGGAAACCTTTTTTTAACTAAAGTTCTCAACGTTGTTAAGGCAAATTAGTGAAACTTAAGTCTAGATTTAAAAAAAAATCTTTGACAACGTCCTGAATTTGGACAAGATTATTAAACAAAAGAGCTAAAACTTTTACAATGTGTTTATGTCCTTAAATTTCTTAAAAAACATGTTTTTTACTCAAATTTATAAGGTTAATAAGTTAAAAGTATTATAATTAAAAAGTATATAAACATAAAAATTATATGCTTGTAGTAATTGCTCCTTTTCTTTTCTATTTACTTGAGGAATATTCTATTGTCTAAATTTTTGTTATAGTTAAAATAATTCCAGCGCCGAGCACAGTCTTCACATAAAAATATCATTCAAGAAGTTGAGATTTTAACGTTCTTGAAATTAAAGCTAAAGTTAGGATAATACACCGCAATTACATTATATTAAACTATAAAACATAAAATCTTGATGGGCATATTAAATTTTAAATAACTTTTAAAAAACTGCTTGCAATCCATAGTAATTTTTGGTGCTTTTCTTTTTAATAATCTAATAGTTTATCATGCAGACCAGATGTTTTACGGAAATATCTTGATTTTTCAAACTAATAACTCATTGACGCCAATTTCTTAAAAAGCGCCCTAACTTCTAAGAGAAGTGTTAAGTTTAACCGCAGAAAAGATTTTATTCAACATCATAATTTTGACTTACTTATTTCTTGAACAATTTTAATAGGTGTTAAATGATGCCGCTCAGTTTTACGCCATCTAATTTTGACAAGTGTTGATTGTAGAGTACACAAGCGCACCAAAGCCACTGCCATGGTTCAATATTGTTAAGAAAGCAGTTTAAATCTGGCTCGGTGCTTGTAAATACGATGACTTGGTAACAGTTGGAATAAATAGTTTCATATTCTATTTGGTCAACGAATGAATTGTGGTGGAGTGTCCTTTTCTGGAAAACACCTCGAAATTTAGTAAGGATTTTATAGGTATTTATATCTGAGTTTTTTAAAAAGCCTAACTGAGAGCAGCGCTTAGGCAGGAAATTTTTTTAAGGTTTTGGGAACCTTATGACAGATTCTTAGGGGGGTCTCCAGCCCACTAACTACGGCTGTGACTTTGAAGGAGACAATCTGACAGAAACTGGAGTGAATTGATTTGCAAAGATTTTGAGGCTTTTCTTGTTCTCACGCTGTAAAAGTAACATTTCCTTGTTAAGCATCTTTTTTCGATAAATATAATATAAACATTTAAAAAGTTTGAGTTTGCTCCAAACGTGGAACTTAGCTCAAACACCAAAAAAGGCTGCATTTGTCTCTTATTATTTATATCAAAACGTTAATGCAAGCGAGTCGATTGCTGAACTGTTTAAAAAGCGTGGCGCACTTAAAAAGTATTTACAAAGTGTCACAATTCTTGAAGAAATGGAAGGAAAAGGTAAAATATGCTAGAGGCAGGAAAAAATCTCCGAAAAACTTATGAAGAAAAGCAAAATAATAGGAAAGAATTATTATTCAACACGGTTAGGTTAAAAATTAATTTGCACAGATTCGCAACCTTTTCCAGATAATTGTCAAAAACAAGAACCGATTACTGCGAAAACAGGAGTCTCAATTTGTAGAAAATCAATTGTTATTACTAAGTCTCTTAAAAGCAAAATGTCCGCAATGGCGAAGGCATGGGAAAAAAAAGACATCCTTTTGAGAAGTTGATACTCTACCCCGTCTACTGGGTAACCTATCAACTTCTTAGCTAGACCTAGGCTCTAAACCTAACCCAGGCCCTAAACCTAAAAAGAGCAATGCGCATATCGTCTAGAGTAATAAAACGCTTAAAGAAATGTTCGTTAACGGAATAACTACCAAAAATTAACAAATAGTGTTAATATCAATATAAGTTAAATTTAGGATCAATTTTGCAACAAGGTTATTATAATAATGATTTCATAACTATCAATAGTTATAATAATAAGATATATAAATATTATATATTACATATTACAATTACATAGACTAAAGTTTATCTACATCAGTAGAAAATTACATCTTTAATGAAATTTACTACTCATAATATAAATTTTTATAAATATATATAAAAAAAATTCTTGGTGCAAATAATAACTTACAGAATGCAAATGCTTTGAAAAGATTACTTTATATAAATTGTTAAGACAAGAATCAATGAATTACAATTAAGGAATTACATTTAACTGATATCATAACAAATTGTCAGCACATAATACTTCATAACATTGATTTATTGAAAATTAATCGTTAGAAATTTTATTTCTAAAAAACGTAAGTAACAGCATCTGCATCTATTTGTTCTTTCTTATTATTTTCAAATATTAAAACATAAATTTGCATCATTAATAAGTAATTTTTTTACAATTCTCTTTTTTATAACTTCTAAATGAAACTCAGTATGGCCATTAGGTATTAAATCTTGTTGTTATTCTCGATATATAAGATATTGTTGTCTGTATTATATTAGATACTTTTCAACAATATTCAATTTACTAAAATTCGATTTTCTTTAGCCCATTTCTTCATAGTGCGCAAGATATATTCTACCTGCGGATTGGATGTATTTCTAAGAAGTTGTAAAACATCCCTCAAAGTCTCCCTGAAAAACGAAACAGTAATCGTGATTAATTTTAAAATATATTTTAAGGAAACAGAAAACCATAGTACAAACGTTCTGCAACATTTTGATGTGTGTAAAAAATGTATTAATTACCTTGGTTCACGATTAGCAATGATCATCTGAAAAATACCAACGCATGCTCCTCTTTTTCCTTCCCAGTATTCCGGATTAGGATCGAGTCTCTCCAGTACATCAAAAGATTTTGCAGCATAGTAAAATTGTCCCGTCTATCGTTAAAAAAAAAAATTTAAGGCGTGTTTAAAAGGGTAACCAAGGCGGAGAATAAACCAAAGCGCAACCACATATTCAAACTCTCACAACCAAATAATTTCAACTTAATTTTAATTACTTCAAGTTCAACTTTATAAAGATAACTAAACTTTTTTTTAGTAGATTAGTAGACCTTATAAGATGCTACTAAGATCTAAACCTTGTCAAAAAGATAAATTCTTTAAAAGATAATTTTTTTTTTTCTCGAAAAAATGCATGAATTGAGTTTTAAATAGCTTCTGTGCCTAATATATTATTTAGATCTGATTCCTATTTATTAACAACTCTTTTCCAAACTTCAATACTCCGTTGCAAAAAATTGGTTCAGATGTGAAATCATCACAGAAACTAAAATCTATTTTGATGAGAGATTGGCTTCCGGAAAAGCGATAAAAAATTTAAAAGAAATAAAAAAGTTTTTAAATGAAGAAAGAAAAGGAAAAAGAGAAAAGAAAAAGAAACAGAGTTTGAAAATAAGGGAAAGAAAAAAAAAATTAAAAAAGAAAAACACATAAAAATATCGAAAAGCAGCAACAAAAAAAAATCAACAAAGAAAAAAGTAATTTAAAAATAAAAAGAATTTAAATTAAGAAAAAAATCTGTTTTAAGAAAAAAATATTTTTTAATAGTTATGTTTTTCGTTATATTTACTGAATCAGATCTATTGTAATAAATTTTAGAACATAAAAATTTCGTAATCAAACATTTTGTTCTTTCGTTTTTAATTATCGCTTTTATTTATTAGTTTTTTTATTCTTATTATTGTTGGTGAATTATTTGTCCTATTTAATTTAGTTCCGACTTTAGTATTTAATTAATTTTATTAAATAGCCTTTTTCTATCATCTCTAAATACTGTTATCGTAGCTATTATTATTGCTATTATTATTACTATTATTATTGTTAATCATTTTTTTAATTATTATTAATACTATTGTAAAAATGATATAAAAATAAATAGCTTGTTGTTGTTAATTATAAATAATAATTTTGGTAGTCATCCGATTTTGATTTATGACATGAAACACTTTAAAAGTATTTTAATGCAAAATTTTAATACCTTATAACAATCATTTTAATACCTTAAAACAATCATTTTAATACCTTATACCAATCATTTTAATACCTTATATCAACCATTTTATTACCTTATAACAATCATTGGCTATCAACTGCAAAAGACTAAAAGATTCAGAGGATGTTTCCATCTTTAAATAGAGTTCCCATGCTAATCGGGCTTTACGGTTCATAACATCTGGTAAAAAATAATAACATATAGTTTTTTTTTTAAAGGTCTTAAAACACACCTATTAAAAAACTTATCAACAAAATTAATAATTCAAAAACTTTGGGAAAAAATTTTAATTTGTTATATATATATATATATATATATATATATATATATATATATATATATATATATATATATATATATATATATATATATATATATATATATAGGGTAAAGTAGTCTAATACCGCCGGCGGCTTATACCCCCATTCCATTTTTTAAAGTTAGCTTAAAGATATTTAGTGGCGCAATTTAGGAAACATTGTCAGAACTTCTTATATGAATCATTTTTTAGTTATAAAACATCATATTTTTTGAACTTTCGCCCATTATATTGTGGTTTTGAGTCATTCTCAGTTATTCTATACAGTGTAGAAAGTGTGATTCTAGACCATTCTTTTTTTATCATTGATTAAAAAAGTATCTTTTCTACTTATAATTGCTCAAAACAATCTATGTTTTATTGTTATTTTTGTTTATTTATGTGCCCAATACATTATTTGATTTTTGAAAGTAAGCTATGTTCAAAATGTAAACAAAAAACCCCCGGTTTACATAAAACATTGATATCTGGCCAATATTGCCAGACTGGAATAGGCCACATGTTTATATTGATTTTCGATATTGAGATTTTGTTTAAATGTGTTGTGACTTGATGCTTGTAATTTAATGTTTTTGCTCTCAAACTTACTTTAAACTACTGTAATGTTGAAGTTTAAAAAAATGAAACAAAGAACGTAAATTTTAAAATTCTTTATAAATATTATTATATATAAGTTGCTGCGCATCACTCAACGCAAAAATGACTGTATAGGGAATACCTTTTCCTTTTACATGTACTTTTGTTGTTGTTATCTTTTCACAACCTCATTATTTTATTGCTTTAAACTTAAAGATGTTTATAAATGCTTTAGTTGTCACTTGACAAATGCAATGTTGATTTTTCGATTTAAAAAATTTTGATTGATTTAATTGATTTAAATTAAAAAAATTTGTTAAAAAATTTGTAAAATTATTTTGTTCTTTTTAGAATGACTAAGCCTAAAAAAGTAACTATTTGGGCAGAATGAAAAACAGAGGATTCGAAAAAGGCACTATATTCTGTTAGAACTGGAAATCCAGTAGCGGCAGCATCGCGAGATTATTCGCGAGAACATTCCTCAAAGAACTCTTAGAGACTGGTTAACGAGAAAGGATAGATCACCAAAAGGTAAACTAGATCGAAAGTGCATTATTCCTGAAACAGTAGAATCTGAGTTGAAGCAAAGAGTATTTCGTCTTCAAGAAATAGGATTTGGTATTGCAAGAATACAACTTTGAAAATATGCATATGAAATATGTACTCAAAAAAATTTGCCATATTGTTTCAAGAACGAAATCGCTGGTACTTATTTTAATAGTTTTCAATTTTTATTTTATATTTGAATTTAAAAAATTTATTCGATATCAGTTTTTATATATTTAAATGCCCATATATTTAAATGAAATATTAAAATTAAAATAACTATACTATTGAAAAAAATAATTTCAGACAAAGATTGGCTTAAAAGATTTCTTAGGCACCATCCTGATGTTGCTCCTAGGAAATGAGAAAGCTTGAGTTATAGTAGACTAACACAATTTAATGCTGAAACTGTTAAAAACTTTAAAATCTACGAAAAACTAAATTTGCCACACCATCCTAAACTGATTTACAATGTCAATGAATCTGAATTGCAATTAACAATAACTGGCACTCTTGTAGTAAGTCATTTTAACCAGCACCAATTACCAGGAAAAGCTTTGTTGATTTTCGACGTACTTTGTAGCCATTTGGATATTGCTGTAATAGAGGAAGCCAAAAAGTTAAACATCCATATGCTTTGCCTTCCAGCGCATTGTAGTCACGAACTTCAACCTCTGGACAAAAGCGTTTTTAAACCATTAAAAACTTACTGGAATGTTTCCATTGATAATTTCTGAAAATTTCCTGGATAATCACTTTTAAAACTGCAATTTCCACTATAATTTACTGAAGCATGGTTGCATACCGTTACACCAGCAAATGCCATATTAGGATTCAGATCAAAAGGAATCTATCCTTTCAACCCTAATATTATCCCCCAAGTAGCTTTTGCACCCAGTGAAATTTCTAATTGCATAAACGTCAAAAGTCCTGATGTTGACAAGTTAGTACTTTGGAAACTGGATCTTCAGACCCTGCATCTAGTATCCATTTAATAATTTTATCACCTAAAATAATTAGAAAAGTAAAAACTAGAAGATCATTAAATGTGCAAGCCTTTGTTGTCGATCAAAATTTAGTTGCTGATAAAATAACTGAAACGCCTAGGCCAAGTCAAACAAAAATGGCCATGAAACATAACTTGAAAATCATCGAAAAAGAGAAGTAAGAATAACAAAGATACGTTTTGTGGTGATTGCGGACTCTTTTAGAACCACAAAAGAAAAAAGATAATTGGATTCAATGGTGCAAAACTTGGTTGCATGAGCACTGTAACACAGGAAGCATCTTAAAAAGTGGCCTATGCACTTTGTGCAAAGTAGAGTACACATCAAGTAGCAAAAGTGACTAAACAATCAGATTTGTAATAAAAAGTTAAACAAATTTTATGAATAATGATTCATTTTTTATTCGTTTCTTTAACATATTCTGCGTTATGAATAATGAAATATTTAAAAAAGTGTGGGTGGCGATAATGAACGCATATGAAGCTTATATTGCCAATAGTACCGTTTTAAGAAAAATGATTTTTCCTTGAAATTATTTTAGGTGTGAGCAATAAATCTATGATATTTCTAGAGCTAAATAATTACCTTATCAAAACAAGATTTTTTCAAAAATATAGAGTTTACATAATAATAATAAACTAAATATAGAAGGGTCGTGTTATTAGACTACTTTACCCTATATATGTATATTTATATATTTATATATATATATATATATATATATATATATATATATATATATATATATATATATATATATATATATATATATATATATCTGTGTGTGTGTGTGTGTGTCTATATATATATATATATATATATATATATATATATATATATATATATATATATATATATATATATATATATATATATATATATATACATTTTTAAGTATAAACAAAACAAAATTAATCAGTAGGGCAGGTTAATTTTCAACTTTTTAATGTAAATACCTATGCCATATGAATTTTAAATGTGTTGGCGTTTATAAAAAAATAAAAGAAACTAGATTTTAAACTTGTTATTTTAGTTTAAAAGCTTATAATTTTAAATAATTACAAAGATTGGTATTTTTTTCTATATTTTGCTGTAATATCTTGCGCTGTTACACAAAGATATTTTGGTTCAAAATTGCAAACTAAATGCTATGATTAATTTAGAAAGTAATTTTTTATATTTTAAGTTGCCCACATTGAGAGAAGGTATAAAATATGGTCAACTTCTAAGATGAAAAGTGTAAATCAAAGGCAAAACTTAAAGATATGCTAAAAAATTTTCTATACAGTTAAAAAGCAAACCCTGAAATTTCCATTGTGATGAATAAAACCAATATAAATATAACAATTAAGATATAGAAAAAAACTTTAGATACTTCTAAGTTTAAGTGTAACCCTGACTCATTTCTAACTCTATTCTGGACAAGCTATTTGATATAGTAAAATGCAGGTGTGACATTGTTTCTTGTGAGGAGGCAAGTTGTAATTCTTGTGTTTTCATAGCTCATATTTCTTTTCAATGCAAGAGAGTAAACAGAATTTTCATAATGGAACTTCAGTTTATAAAACCTTTGAGAGAAAAATTTAATATGTAAAAAGTAGGGTGCTAAAGGTTTTAAAAAACCCAACAGGCAAGATAAAAATAATAAAAGAAAGGAAATTGGAAAAAAAAAATTCACATATAGAACACCTATCTTATCATCCTCAAGAAAACGAAACCAAAGTACCAATTGATAACATTGCGATTACTGGGAATGGAGATGTTGTATCCTTAAGATAATTCTCAGTACAAAAGCAGTTTTTAAAAAGTCATCAAGTATTGATGAAAAAAGTTGCATTTGCATCATTAAAATATGGAGTATTAAATAAAGCAACTGCTGAAGTTTCAACACTTACACTAAAAGAAGCTAAAGATGCAGGCTTTCTTAAAATTACTGTGACTGACAGTGAAATAGTGACAAAGTAAAAAAATTGAATGTTCTAAATTGAAGGTGATAAAACAATTTAATTCTGAAAATAATATTGTAAAAATTATGGATTTTTGATGGAGTTCAATCTATTATATTTTATTGGAAAAAAGGATAAGACAAAATTTTCTTTGATGGGGAAATATGGAAAAATTCTCCATAGACTTGTACAAGAAGACTGTTATTGTGTTTGTGTTTTGGTCAGGTGCTTTATATCTGTACCATTTTACAAACAAAAAAGTAACAGATCAGAGTTTATTACCCCAGCAGAACACATAACAGAACATATAAATAAATGGATTATAGAACATGGGATAGAATCAACTTTAGTTGCTGTTGGCTGTGATTCAACCAATTTTAATACAGGTAAATGATTGATAAAAAATACATGTGATTTATTTATATTTTATATTGTATAAATATTTGATGATAAATGACATCATAGTCATAGTATTTAACTAGTCTGGAAACACGGGCCGTTTTCTATAGATTTTGTAAAATAACTTGAGCTTTAAAGGATGACCGGACTGAGAGTGCATCAAATGTTTTTAAAATGACTTTTTGTAGTGTAGACTTTGAAAATTTGAATGAATTTGATGCTGTTTTAGCTGCTATTGAGTTGCTATTTGTTGGAGGCAGATCTCAATTTTAGTTCAAATATTAGACTACCTATTTTAATTTATCCTAAACAAAGCGAAAAAAGAATATTTATGTGTTTGTTTTGCAAGAAATGATGTATATCACAAGGTGACTCAAAACATTCTATTGTAACTTAGTGGGAATGTTTTTTGTAACTCTAATTTTACAATTGGTTTTAATTCTAACATGTTAACATGTCTAAGTTGTATAATGACCACTGTTTATCATATTATTTGCAGCTAAGTATGCATGATCATCTAACATTTACATACAAGTCCGTAGATTGTACATTGCAAAATATAACCTGAAAGCTTTTGACAACATGACAACACTACTATTTTACATATATAAAAAATATTTAGTTTTGAACAAATGTAATAACATCGTTTTTTTTTTTTGGTATGACTTAATACTATATTACTACCACTTTATAATACCCGTGTAGCTAAATATATTACATTTCCAGCTACTAAAAATGTTTTTTATTTTGTTATTATTGAAAGTCATTTAATGATGGGTTGCAACCCATCATTAAATGACCCTTGCAAGCACTAAGTGATTGTTAGTGTCGAAAAAATTTTTAAATAAGCTATTCCATGATGTAATAAATTTTTAATACAGCAAAACCTTATTACTTAGGCGGCAAGGTTAACACTTTTTAATAAATTTTTTGTAAACTTTATATGCTCAAAAGTAAGTTTAGGTAAAATACAAGGCCACATTCTCTGTCTTCATAGAATATATAGGCAATATGGTTCCACTGTATAAACTTACCATACTTACATATATCTTTTTTTTCCATATGTTTTAAGTTGGATAAGTCATATTTAAATAAGACAGTAACGAGTTGTCCTATTTTAATGCGGTGGATTAGGCATACACGAGTCATTTATAATGCCTTTTCAACAACTTGCGATTTGCATAAACATTGCAAGTTACAAGCAACAACTTTTAAGAAATTTGCAAATTTTGATTGTTTTCTAAAGCAAAAGAAACATTTGTCATGCAGTGGCACCAGTTGCAAAAGTCAAGTATATCATCTAGATTAGTCAAGTATATCATCATACACTGCAGCTGACTTTAAAAGTAGATAATTAACATGAAATATCTTATTTTAGTTGAAGATAACCTTAGATTTTGAGATATTTTTTTCTGCATTTAACAAAATAGATATTAAATTATAGCCTAAAATCAAGGTTTGAAATAAAATTTTGTAACTTAGTTTAATACATTGTGACTTTTAAATAGAATTCTGTAATCTTCTTTTAATACATTGTACTAAATAATTAAATTAAATTTGATTTATATGATAGTGAAGCAATATTTGGTAGCAGACTTTTGCATCATCTTTATTGCATTAAGTATATATTTTTTTATTTGCTATTATATAAATTGCAATACAACGTAATAAAATCAAAAATTTATATACAAGCTTTTGAATTTTAGTTTAAGAAGCTTTGATATACTTGCTATTTTTAAAATATTTATTAAAATCTTAATTTTTTTTACTGATTAAGTTTTTTACTTTTGCACAACATTTATTGTTAGTATAGCACTTGTAAAAAAGGTAAAAGTTCTACCGTAGTGTAGAATATGTGGTATGCACATAGTAATTTAAAATCTTCTACCTTCCAAGGTGAAAATCTTTAAAGATAAGAAAATTTTTCCTTGTAAGGTAGAAAATTAAACAACAAATCATTATTTTTAATATAATTTAAGTAATAATTAAGATATAATTTTTCTCTCTAAGGTAGATAAATATGCTTTGTTAAAGCATTTATACCCATACACATCTATCAAGTTATACAGTCAATGAAATGGGTGCATCTATAACATATTTTCATATAGTATATAACTTAAATGCTTCTATGATATATGGTTGAATAAGCATATTTACACCACTACAATTTCTGTCACATAACTACATTTATCAACAGTTGATGTCTTTATTTTATGCTATATTCATCATTTTTATTCGGAATACGAAATATATATGCAATCTAAAATATTAACTTGAAACTAAATAACCAAAAAAATCACAATTTGTTCATGCAACTTCAATATTTATTCCAGAATATATGTGACTTATCTATAGCGAAATACAATGCTTACAATTTGATACACTCTAAAGTAGGCTGAGCACTAGTATAGAGAGGAACTTAAGTGTTTTAAGAAAACGGCCCGCATTTCCAGACTAGTTAAATACTATGACTATGATGCCATGCATATATTCAAACAACTATTTTTAGGCTGAAAAAGAGGCATCATTCATAATTTAGAAAAAAAAAAACTTTAAACTAATTTTATTTGGATTGTTTGTCCCTTGCACACAAATGAGCAACCTTTGATGGCAAAACAATATCAAACAAGTATTCTGACAATATTGGAAAATTTGTCCCTATTGTCAATGATCTTAAAATTTCCACTAACTTAATAAGTTCACTAATCAAGATATAAATATCAAAATTAATTTATTAGATAATTTATAAGATATGAAAGTACTTTACAAAATTTATCTAGTGATCAAGTTATCGATACCAAATAATAAAAGCTATTAAAAATAAATTCAGTCGATTTAAAAGCAAATCAAGTTGGTACCCAATCTTCAAACACTACTTTGTAGCAAAGACAAAGATGAGAGAATGTTTGAAGTGAAGATTTCAATAAGAAATGTTTTTATAACTTGATTTTGTAAGTTCTCTATGAAGTTGCTAAATCAAGAAAAACTCCAAAAATTAACACCGATACTGTAACTTTAATGGAATTGATTGATTGGAATACTAATATTTACGAACCTTTGCTCACATGCAAGATTGTAAAGAAGAACTTATTTAGTACTTACAAATCTTGATAAAGGATTTAGAATTTCATGCCAACTGACAATCCAAAGCTTTTAGCATAATTTACAGACAAGAAAGACAGGATGGGTTTATAAAAACAGCAGGCACTCAAGTGAACTTCTTCCTGTTTTAGAATCTAAACAGAATTTGCTTAAGCTTTTTCAGGCAATATGTTCTAATTTTATTGCATAATTAGAATAATCAAGTAAATTCATACAAACGACTTTGGTATTTGATCTGTTTATAAGTTACTGCATTGGTAAATGCAACAAGTTATAAACAATAACTTTTTTTTTTATGTTTTTAATCTGCTATATTTGGGGTGGTGGTTGAGCAACCTTTTTGCTACATTACAGCTATATAATGTTATAATGTAATATAAACAAAGACATTTTTTAAAAAATTTTGATAAATAAATTCACAAAATATTCCTTTTCAAAGATTGTATTTTATGTTTCAAATAAAAATTAACTTCAACAATCCCTTTTATACAGAATTATCTCTGGAATCCTGTTTGTCATGTGTCTTCCTCTAAAAATCTATCACTCATCCCCACACTTTTACTATACCTTTTTAATCTCTCTCAAAGTTTCTGCACCTCAGTATCTCTTATATTATGAATTTTCTTCTCATTCAATTTCTATCTCTCACTGGTTCTCTCTTTCTTTTACACATACTATTTTCTAAGATTTATAGATAATAATAAAGATTTAATAATTGCAATGAATTAAAATAATGATAGATTCAACAACATAAAATGAATTAAAATAATGATGAATTCAACAACTTTTGCAATGAATTAAAATAATGATGAATTCAACAACAATACATGAATGCACTAATACAATGTGCTGTCTAAATTTAAAAACTCAGGACTTTTTTCAGACAAATAAAGCTGTCTAAACTTTAGACCTTAATGGATCTTCCACTAACTTAAAAAATAAATAAAAACTTTCAGTTTTCAAATCAACATCTGCGACCAATTAGAAATGGACTTACAAATCCGTGCTAACCAGCTTATATATACATAGTCATTCTTCATTTTTTCATTCTGAATAAGAAGCATTATCTAAAAAAAAAATAAAGTTTAACGGTTTTATAGAATTCAACATGAAAAAACTCTTTTAAAGAATTTAACATTAAAGAACTCTTTTGTAGAATTCAATATGAAAGAACTCTTGACTATTTAAAAAAGATACACAGCAGAGTGTACATACAGCAATTGATTTAGCTATAGGTGCTGTGGAGTGTACACAGACCTAAAGGTTTTGGTTTGGATAGGTAATCCATTTACTTAATAAAAGACTTTTTTCAAACTTGAAAACTTTTTCTGGTCTTATTTTTCATTTTTTTTAATATTAAAGCATATTTATTATGAGAAAAATTAAAGTATACTTATCTTATTTAAATTTTTATTTATCTTTTAGCCTTATCGCAATTAAATTTTTTAGATAAAGTTAATAAATAAGAGTTATATATATATATATATATATATATATATATATATATATATATATATATATATATATTATATATATATATATACACACACACTACCAGCAATTAATTTGAGATCAGTGATGAGAATACAGTAATTCTATTGAAAATCAATTTAATCTATTTTCGTTTATGTTTTTTTTTTTGATCTCAGTGAATAAAGAAACTACAAATTAGTTCATGAAATATACTTTATTTAGTTTTCTTCACAAATATTTCTAAACAAATAGAAAACTTAACAAACATTAAAAAGTTAAATTATAAGGTCTTTATTATTTTGCACAAGTTTCAAACTTTGTGTTCATCAAAATAACCACCACGTTTCTTCATTACTGCTTCACATATTCTTGGCATACGAAGGATTCATTTGTTTAAAGTTTCCATGGTTACAGCTTTCCAAGCCTTTTGCAATAACTCCCATAAATGTTCCTCAGATTTTACTTGGAATTTCTTCACATACCGGTTAATTTCATCCCAAAGAAGCTCAATGGGATTGAGGTTTGGTGACTGTGTAGACCAGTCCATTAAAGTAAGGGTTTTTTCTTGTACTAGTTAATTCAGGTAATTTGTACAAAGTTTAGATTTGTACTTTAGGTCATTATCTTGCATAAAAACAGGCTGGCGTCGAACCACCATTCGGTGAGCAGATGGAATGGCATGATCCTCCAAAATTTTTCTGTATTGCTCCTTTTTCATAATTCCATGAACTCTGATCAAATCTCCTATTTTGTGACCTGCAAAATAACCCTATACCATTATTGAACCTCCTCCATGCTTAACAGTAGGCACAATGCACTGTGGAATGTAAAGTTCATACTGGTGCCGGCATACAAATATTCTTCTCTTGTTGCCAAGTAATTCAAACTTGGACTCATCGCTCCATACTTCTATTTTCCATTGACTTATTGTCCAGTTGGCATGTTTGCAAGCCCATTGTAGTCGTTTCACCTTGTTTGCTTACCGTAGCAACGTTTTTTTGGCAGCTACACGTCCTCTAAGTCCAGCTTTCATTGAATGGTTTCTTATTGTCCGGACATAAACAAGTTTTTCAGCAGTTTCATTGTATTCTCTCATTATTTGTGGAGCTATTAATTTTCTGTTTGACATAGATAATCTCAAAATATGACAATCACCATGTTCATCTATCTTTCTAAGCAGTCCTGGTCGTGGTAAGTCACAATATTGACCAGTTTCCTTGAAATACTTGATTGTATTGTGAACTCCAGTGATATTTTTATTCTTTCTGCAATTTTTCTTTCTGAAACACTTTCTCCATCAAGTAAAACAATGCAAACTCTCTGTTCAAAGCTTAATTTTCGAACTGGAGCCATTTTAGTACGACAAAATGAAAACTAAAAAAAATTAAACAGTTTAAATAATACAATATTTGTATATTCATTTGCAAGTCATTATATACTATACTGGGTCTACATAAAGTATCTACAAGAAGCTACCTATGAGAAAAATTATATTTTCAATATCAATTACAAGTCATTAATCAAAGTTAAGTAACAGTTAAAAATAATACTTGTATTGTCTTTTATGCTGGAAGAACTTAGCACATACACTTTTGTATACTTTCGGACATAAGTAATTTTTTGGGTGCAAAAATGTCCATATCCTATTCTATCTACTTAATTATTGTGTATGTAATTCTCTATTTATTTTTGATCCAAAAATAAAGAAGTGCAAATATGATAATCAGATATATTTATTTTTGAAATGTAAATATCGTTTTTAACCGATGGTCTCAAATTAATTGCCGGTAATGTATATATATATATATATATATATATATATATATATATATATATATATATATATATATACACATACATACATACATATATATATACATACATACATACACACACATATATATATATATATATATATATATATATATATATATATATATACATATATATATATATATATATATATATATATATATATATATATATATATATATATATATATATATATATATATATATATATATATACATACATACATACATATATATATATATATATATATATATATATATATATATATATATATATATATATATAACATGAGTATATGAGGCAATTAAAACAAAAACTTAAGGACTTTATTGTTCCCATGGCAATTTTTTGCAAAGCACCTGACATAGGTATAAATATATTATTGACATAATAAATTTGACATAGGTATAAATATATAAATGACATAGTATACAGGCTTGGTCGGGAAGCGAATGCGATTGCACTCGATAACTGACCACGGAAATAATATTTAGTTGCAAAAAACTGGCCAGATTTTTTAGTCGTTTTGAGAACATTTAAGTTTATGTATGTTTCTTTGTTTGTCCGCAAAATAATCAATATTTTACTGTAAATTTTGTTTTACCGACATATATGGAAACATACATAAATTTGATGCTTTGTGCGGAATATTAAAAATAAAATATTCGCAAACACAAAAATCCCGCCAAATCTACGAACAACTAATTCTATTGGTTCAAAAAATACTAACCGAAATTTCAAGAGTATTCAAAAAATACTAACCGAATGTTCTAGAGTATTCTGTTGAAATATTTTAAAAAGTTGTATTATTTGAGCTTTGTTATGTTTTCGTTGAGATTTCTGGCTTAAATTGTATCAAACAAAATTTTTAATGCTATGGCTCTTTCTCGGAGCCACATCTACAAAGTGTTACATCTACTAAATGTTTTAAACTAACATTATTTGTTTACAAAAATAAATGTTTTAAGTTTATATTTTTTAACTTGTTAAAGTTTTGTAAATATATTATAAATCTTATTAGTATATTCTTATTTTTTATATATAAGGAATGTATTTTTTATGTATGTAATGTATTTTTATGTATGTAATGTATTTTTATGTATAAATGTATTTTTATGTATGTATTTTTTACGCATCTAATTTTATGTATGTATATTTTATTCAAATGTAATCTTTTAAAGCAGTTTGTGCAATTGATTTTGTAAACAAAAATAATTTCAATAACAACTGGGTTTTAAATGAAATTAATAATAATCATCAAAGTTAATACAAAAAACTTTAACCACTAATCCATTTTCCTTAGTGTACCCGATAACTGATTCTTTCCCCCAAGCAAGAAAAGTTTTTAAGTTCATAGAAATTGGTTTACTAACTTCAATTATTTTTGCTTCAGCCATTCTTACAAACTCGTTATACTTAAACTTAAAGTTACTTTTTCTGTTTTAGATACTAATTGAAATTATAAAGCCCACTCACTAATCATTATAAGCGGTATTGTGAAGCAGTTCCGCTTCCTCCTTCCAAAGTAATTTAACGTTTTTAGTTGATTTCTTTCTAGCTAATTGAATTTCTACAATATCGCAATGATTTAATTATTTCATTTGTTTATCTAAGAAGAATTGTTTCAAATGTGCTACACTTTTCAAACTACGCAAAGCATAAAACAGTTATTGAAAAAACTTTTGCATTTATAAATAAATCATCTAGCGTTAGTTTTATTAGTTGAATCTTGTTGAACTTTTCAGGGCCGGGTGCTGCATTATTTAGGTGGCCTTTTTTATGTGCCACAGCGTTAAC